AGTAAAATAATTCAAAACAGAAAAATGAGGAGTTTCAAAATCCTAAAAGTAAACAGGAAGGTTTTCACTGTAATGAAACACGATATCCAAAATATTTGCAGAGAGGCTTTTGTTATCCTTGCACAGGTCTAGGTTCAGCGAGCTGGTAATTGGAGTGAGGAGGAGAATGGAGCTTTTAAGGAGATGCCGAGAGCTTTGCAGGATGAAAGGCAGGTTGCAGAGAGGCTGCACTCATCCGTTTGCAAAAAGCAGCAGAGAAGGAGACCAGTGAAACAGGTTCGTTAAAAACTCTGCCCAGGGTACTGGTCCAGGCTCTTTACCCCTCGGGTTACATTTTATTATCTTTTCCTTAAGAATCATGGTGTGTTTTTCTCTGTTCAGAGAGGTTTGGTGAGCAGTTAAGGTAAATAAGTGTGATGATGCGTGTCTCTTCACTTCACCTGTTAACTGTTGCTTGGTCCTTAAGGTGCTGACTTTCCAGTTAACTTGATTCAAAAAATGAAACATATTTTAATGCAATCCTCTCTCAGATATTGTCCCAACTGCATTGTTTTTTTGTAGTTCCATTATCAAATAGGTACAGTTCTACACACAAAAATGTTTTCCAGATGGTGCTAGTGAGCTCCACACTGCAGGTCTTTTTTTCCTCCAGGATGCAAACTTCTCATTTTTGGCTTAACATAAACGAATACTAATTTTCTTGCCTTTTTCCTGAGAACAGCGAAAATCAAAAGGGATCACGCTGGGATGGAGGGGAACGGGAGGTTGGCAAAACTCCTTTCCTGTGCCACCAAATGGAACAAGTCTTCAAACTCCCAGATTCAGCACCGAGTATGTCAGCAGAAAGGAAATACGATGGCTTGGCATGCGAGCCCAGGCTCGGAGCTGCTTCCACTGTTCTTAGCTCAGGCTGAGTAATTTCTTAATTACTTCTTAACTGCTGTTAAGAGCACTGTATTCTCCCTCCTTCAGAGCACAAGGGATCTTGTCTCCTGGCCTCTTCCTCTCCTCCCTATCCCAAACCCTATGGAAGTGAACAATGGGAAGCACAGAGGAGAACCTTGTGGGATTTCTGTCCTCCACGTGTCTACCCTGCAGTTTTGTTGGTTGTGTTTTTTTTTTCTTTTTTAAACATACAAAGGGAGAAGCAGCACCAAGTTGGAAGACTTAGTTTGCTGGAAGACAGCTCTAATGGCAGGAGCGTTGCTTTGCTTTAAAGTCAGCAGGTGAGGTAAAGGCACACTGTGAATTCCAATTAGCCGTGGTGAAGGATGGAGAAGGAGGTCACTCCTGGCGTGTATCACTGCGTCTCTCCTGTCTCCCAAAGTTTATCATCCTCCTTTGAAAATGAGATCAGAATCAGGGAGCTCACGGGATCCCGGAAGCCCAGGATCCGCGTCTGCGTGATGTTGGGTTCTGACTTTGCAAAGTGGGTCACCAGCCTGTTACTGGGAGCTGCATTTTGGGGTCATTGAGGCAGCTGAAGGGAAACAAACGGGCCATCGATCAGTCCAGCCGCAGCCCGGGGCCTCCGCGATTTAATTACTTGTGTTGTTTGGACCAAATTCATCCCTGTTGAAACATCATCACCGTAAAAAAACTCCACAAGGGAGGAATTCGGTGCAATGTGGTTTTTTTTCCTGTTATTCCTACATCTAACGCTGTTGCAAATAACTTGTTTTTCTGTCTGTCCAACTTTTCTAAGCAAGCTCGCCCGGTTTTCGGTGCCGTTTGCGAGTGGTGAAGAGAGGTGAAGGTAACTTCTCCTGTTGGCCCTGATTGTAGGAAGAAGCTTTAAGCAATTGTTGAAACTTACTCTCCCAGGACAGGTGACCCCCACCCAGCGCAGCGCTGCAGCTCTGTGTTTCACATACTCGAGCTGGGTGCTTTGCTTGATTTACCAGATGGAAACTGGTTATCGATAACGTCACTGCTGTGTGTTCTCTCTGTGGGCACTGGGCTGCAGATGAGAAATCCAGTTGAGAAATCCAGCGTAAGATAAGATGGGTCCATTTCTGGATGGGACTGTTTTGGGTGGGACCTGTTCCATCAAAGCCTGGCTGCTCTAGCATTAGAGAAGACTTTTTCTTTTTTTTTCTTTCCTCCAAGAAGGGTTTCTGAGAGATTGGAAGCCAAAATATGTCAAGAGTTAGGACAAAAATGCAGCTCACCTCTTTCTCAAGCACACGTAGATGTGCCGTTGGTCTAAGGGTTCAGGACACGTTGCTTCAAGGAGGCATCTACAGGAGGATCCTCTGCCTATCTGGGCACGTGGTGCCGAAGGGCGCGAATCTCCAGCAGCGTCTCTCAGCTGGAAACTAATGGACCAGGGAGGAGAGCCAGGGTGAGGCGGAGCGGTTGCTCCTCTCTTTGCAGCAGCCCACGCCACGAGGGCGAGTCGCGCTCCGCTGTCTCCGGCAGCGCTCCCAACCACTCGCCCATAGCCGTGAGAGTGGGATCCCCGTGGCAGACGGCTTCCAGGGCAGGTGGAGGGGCAGAGGCCAGGGAGCAACGCTGTGGTCACTGTCCTAGCTGGGTTCTTGCTCTCCTCCAGGCCACCAGGGTCAGAGCCCTGCAAGGTTCCCCACCGATGCCGCTGCTGGAGGACGTGATCTCGGAGAACATCAGCTGGGCTGCCGAGGAAGCCCAGGGCAACGGATCATCAGAGCACGCGTTTTTCTCTCTGGATTATCAACATGTTCAAGTCCCCTTTGAAATCACGCTCTGGATCATGCTTGCGTCCTTGGCCAAAATAGGTGAGGCATCTTGAGAGGGTAAGGAATGACGGGCGTCTCTGTGGGGATGCTGTGGGCAGAGGTGGCCTTTGTTTCACCTCTTCTCCAAGCCTGGGGCCTGAGGCAACTTGCAAAGTCCTCAAGATGCACGTATAGTTAACTGGTTGCTATAATTAACAGGTTGTCCAGAGAAGCTGTGGCTGCCCCATCCCTGGAAGGGTTCAAGGCCAGGTTGGATGAGGCTTTGGGCAACCTGGGATAGTGGAGGGGG